CTCCATTGACATAAACCAACAGTGAAAACTCAGTTAAACTCGGGTTTAATAATCACTTCATCCCTTCATATCAGACTTAATTGAAATTATTTACTGGCTCTCAAACTAAAGAAAATGTAAATTTATCACAATCAACCAAGACAACATTTTGGCAACGCTGCTGTCTTGTCTTATAAATAAAAGTTAACCTTTCTGTGAAAGAAAAAAGTCGTGATCAAACTATTTTAAATCCTGTTTTGTCTAAGTCAATTTTCAATGCAGGCAAGTTTCATCTTGCTCTTTCACAAGTCAGTGGAAAACATTTATTTTGGCACAAATTACATCCGGAATAAAGTTCCGTTTTATTCAATGAGAGCTGTCATGTGTATTTTGTTGAAATATGTATTTATATGATACAAACATAGGATAATTTTGCAAATTGTTACAGTGCTTTGCACTCGATTTGTCAGTTTATTAGAAAAAAAACAAGTGTTGTTTAGTAATTTAAAATCTATGGGTTGTACATTTTCATTACAATCATCCTAAACAGCTGTTTCTTTTCCTTTGAAAGAATCATATTTAAAGTTCATTTTCTATAAACGTTATTTATTTCTATTTCCTTTAAATTATCATTTCAACAACGAAGTATGCCTTTGTGTGTTGTTGCATGTTTGTGGAATTTTAGGGAAAAAAAGATATACGAAAGTAAGTCACTGCTAATTTACTCACTAAACATTGTTCGTTTTGCTATTGATCAGTATAATAAAAAACATAAACCGTTACTCTGAACGACTTATTATTGTCGGCAAATCTCTACATGATAACACCATTTTAAATAATTCATAGCTGAAAAAGACCGTTGTTATATTTTACTACGCTTGTTGCCATACGTTATTATACCTGACACACTGTTTATTTTTCTGAAAATTACCCTTTAAAGGTCATTGTTTAACCTCAGGTTTTAAACTAACAATATTGACCTGGCACAATCTGACTAAAGTTGAGATCTACTTTTTTCTTTTATGTAGATCTGACGACCACCGTATTTCCCGAGAAAGCTATTTTTAGACATGCAATCAAGCCTGTTCTTACATAGGCATTAGAAGTATCAAAATACCGTCATACGTGGAAGCTAAACAAATTGTTGATTTCTATAAGAATAAAAAACGTTTGAAGTATTTTTTTTCGTAAAATGAATATGTACATTTAACACATTTAAAACTTTATATTTGTCATATTCTGTATTCCTAAGACAATTTTTGGGTTACTTTTTTGTGTGTGGGGGGGGGGGCTTCATATTGTGACAACAGGGGAAGTGTTTTCATGTTTGATTATGATACAAAAGAGAAAGAACATCAAAACACGCCCTCGTACAAATCAGATAGCCTTGTGTTGCAATGCTCTTTCTATTACTTATAAAACATATGGTTTCCTTTTTAAGAGAAACTTTTCTGTGATTTCTGAGGCTTAATGTGCGTTTAAAGCAGCACGCCTCCAGATTCATGCTAATTTTTTATGAACATTTTGAAAATGTATTTGAATGTATAATATTGTAAAATAACCAAAAGGAAGCAATTTGCACGTTATCAATGGCACTTATAACCCACATAAATTACCAAAACGTTGTCAAAATATGCATAATTAGCCCTTACTGCGTTAGTAACGCAGTAGAAATATAGTTGTAAATATTTAAAAATCAGTCATTAACCGCACATAATATGTAAAATATTACTTAAATCTTGAATCATATTACTTTTCTCAAAATCGTAGTACATATTTCTCAATTTTGATTTGATTGAAACATTTTGACTCATCTGGAGGCATGCAGCTTTAAGGTAATACAAGGTAATTCAAATGTTTTTGTTTTCAGAATATTTTTACGAATCCAAAAGGCAAAACAATTGTACTTGATAGAAAGCATATTTCGTGGTAGTGATAAATTACCAATGCACTAAGAGTGAAAGGAACATTTAGCTTCAATCAATGCGAAAAAACATACTTCTGTTTAAGGGTTTAGCAGAATGAAATCCAAGTCCAATAACTGTTTAAAACAAAGGTGTGGTATAAAAGAATTTTGTTATAAAAGTCTATTAACATGATCATCATACTACAAAGGACAATAACCTACTTAAATGACATGCAACTACCCAACATGATCCACAATATAAATATAATCAGTTAATCCTAAAACAGACTCTTGAAAAGTAATTGTGGATGTCTATGCCAACAATATAAAACCATGTCTGTAAGTGCACTAAAATCCGTTTGCTGCCTGGAACATTTCTAAGAAATATAAGAATTTACTAATCTATAAAAGATAAATGCTTACTTTTCACTTTTAGTAGAATAAAGTATATACTAGAAGTGCGTTACAAAGACTAGCATTTTCTGGATCTGGAAGAAAATGAACAAATTATAAGATAAACAAAAATGTAACCACTCTCAAACAAAATTAATATAAAAATACTTCAAATATTGTAATTAAAATCTAAATTAAAGTATGTGATATAGAATACAAATAGAAATGTTCAATAATGTATGATGATGATTATAATACGAATAATCGTGGTCAATTAAAATATTGTAAAGATTTCATAAATTTAAAGTAAGATATTTGAAAATTCGACGCAGTACAGTTAGAGTCTTGTCCTAAGTAACGAACTCTTTTGGTTGTGATGACACGTATATCTGAGGCCTGTCAAGAGGGTAACATTATCTAAATTGTTCACACTTTAGTAGCATGTGTCTAGATAGATATTTAGAACTACGTGACGTCGATTTAATTCCATTTAAAGATCCTGTAACTCAATTTGTTTATGGGTTTTATATCATAAATATGATGCTCAAATGAAGAATATATTGTAAGTTCCAAAAAGCATTATTACAAATCAATATCATCAATATCAAATCAAGAAAATCAATATCAAAACTTTAAAATAAAAAATTTTGATCTATCATTGAACATTGTTTACTAGTGAAGTTCTAACAGTCATAGCATTTTTGTAATAAAATGCTAATTTACATAGTTCATTTCTATTATTACTTCGCACCAATGCAATAAATTTGTACATACTTGGGTTAACAAAATAATATCTTTTAATATAAAGGTTACGAATATTTGCATAACATGGGCATATAAGATCAAAATTACATTATCTAATAAGCAGAATATGAAAAATATAAAAATATTAAGTTGAAAATATCACAATATAATTCATTGTACCTTTGATAAAATATGCAGTGCATTAATCTGGCGTGAAGTATAATTTTATGATAATGCCTTTTTATCTTTTCTCAATTAATTCGCTTTGTGACACAATATTTTTATGTTGCAAGACTCAAACTTGTTTTTATTGGCAAAAGCATTTTACAGTGTATTTGGTCTTTCTTTTACAATTGCCTTTTATGGACCGTGTTTCACACTGTGTTTACTTATTTTATATCGTGTGTAAAGATAATATATCTTAAATGTGTGCACTAAAATATGTTTATTTTACATTCAGAAAGAGAAATTATCAGTATTATAAAATATCAATTTTAAGTATAATTAATCTTTAATGCAATAGCTATTAAATTCGAATTAAGGTGTTGAATTTTTTAAATGCTTCATCATTATATTTTTCATTTACCATGATCTTGCACATATAAATTTTCATCAAGTTATGTAACGTGAATTACTATTTTCAATGTCATACGAACCGCAGCCAGAAAAGCCGGGATCCTATTAAAACATATAGGGATCCCGGGAATTGACCAGTCCAAGAATATATTTTTCAGATAAGCCGGGATCGTATTAAACATATAGGGATCCCGGGAATTGACCAGTCAAAGAAGATATTTTTCAGATAAGCCGGGATCGTATAAAAACACATAGGGATCCCGGGTAATGACCAGTTCAAGAATATAGTTTTCAGAAAAACCGGGATCGTATTAGACGTACAGATAAGAGTAAATTATCATTCGGTCTATTGGCCATAGTCGGAAGTGTCACTAAACACCTTTAATACACCAATGTTAATTAACACCAGGGACGATACGTTTTGGGTCCTGTACTGGACATATTGTTTAAGGAAAATGAGGTCCGCTACAGTTCTTTTTCATTCTATATTAAAAAATTGACAATAATTTGTTCTTTTTAAAAATATTCATTTAGACTTCATATCTGTTTATAAGTGAAACATGTTATTTTTTACGATCCATGGAATTGATTACTTGTTAAAATCTGTATATATACCTTATGTTTTACATTTGTATTCTTTCTTTTTTTCTTCAACGTGAAAGCCTTCTGGTATTAGTATATATCATTTAGAAAAACAACAAGACATTTGTTAATTTGCAGATAAATCAGCATTTTTATATAGTTTTACAGCATTTTAGGTAAAATAAGCATGCCAATTAAGTCGAACTTGTATTTACAATAATGTAAAATACTCTACCATAATGGTCACGAAAAATAGTTGATTTTCCTTATTAGAGATAAAGATCCCGGATAATCGCATTAAAGAAAAAGCCGGGATCGTATAAGATATATATATCCGGAAATTGACCATTACCATCTTGCTTTCAGAAAGCCGGGATCTATTTAAACAGTACAGAGATCCCGGAATCGACCACCTGTCATACACGTCAAAAGTTTTTTTTTGTTATCAATTATGTTAAGTATATCTTCTGATCTTTTTCTAAAAATAATATTTAATACATGAACATAAAATTAAGCCAAATATTGTATTAAAAAAAACTTTGATATTTCAAGTATACTATACTGTAATTATACAAGTAATGTGATTTCCGCATTTTAAGTGTGTTAAAAAATAATCGAAATATATTTAATCTTAAGTAAAATTCATTTACTGTTCATTACATACAATTAAAGAAATAAATAAGTAACATTTAATCGCCTCTCATTACGACAAAATAAACACAAACTATAGTTTTGAGTTTTCCTATATATCTAATACGATCCCGGATCCCGGGCGTCCCGGAATCCCGGGATTTCCCCCCCCCCCCCACCCGCAGGGGACCAGTCTATTTGGTTATTGGAAAAAATTAGATTGAAAACGAAAGTAAAATTATGTTTGTATGATATTTTAATCTATACCATGTTCAATAATCTCTGATTGTTATAATATTAACTCCTAAATTTTATAGCTACTCTTTGACATAGCAACATTTGTGAAATATTTTGGAACAAGGTTGGTATTCATGAAAACTCTTGACACTTTTTTGTATTCGTCACCAAATTAATTCGTACTTAATAAATATATTATGCATAGTAGCAAGTACATATCAATGTTCAGTCATATTATGTCGATTGTAAAACAATAACTCGTGGCAAATTAAAATAAATGTTTAATAACATTTATCATAGACTTCGGGGGCAGTGATTTTTACTATAGAAACTTTATAAAATATAAGTCATATATGTTACACCATCACTAACAAAGTTCTAGGCTCCTGCGTTTATGAATAAATTATGCAAATGAGCAAGATTGAGCCGCCATGTTGGAGTTTCGGTAAGCGTGTTGGAAATTACGTGTGATGACGTCACAGGAACACACATGGAAATTACACAGAAATGTTACAATTTGTGTAATCTGCACTGTCATGATCTTTAATGCATCTCCTATTTAGACTTATTTCAGATTATCTAACTGAAGGTACCATTTTGCATTCACATGCATTTTGCTTTTCCTTGAGTCGTGGCTAAGACTATGTCAACAAAATTGCAAGAAAATATTTGTCAAATCTCACTGAGCTATTTCAAGTTACCTTACGAATTTATTAACTATCATAAAATGACTCACCCTATCGACATCGATGTCTACTTGGTGGATGTTGAAGGTAGAAAGGTTCGCCAGTGGAACTACCACCAGGCCTTATTTTACCTTCCAGATCCTTTTTTTCTTTCGCAAAAATGTACAATATTAGACCAGTTGGTACGACAAAAGATTTTAAAGCGAAAATGCACTTTTTGTCTAGGTCGGACATCACTTGACCGAGCCGAAAGAAGACAATTTTGAACATAAATCAATCTTATTCTCAATAACAAACTAATATCAGTGCATGCAAACAGTTGAAACAGAAAAGGCAGCTATAATACAATCACTTACAGGTGCACTTTTAGTAGTTATTTGCACTAACTTTTTAAATTGCCACACATTACATGTGTACAAATCGTGACCCTGATATACCTGATGCGTACCGGTTTCGCTATAGTTAAGATTGAGCGAAGCTGGGTAACAGCGTGAATATCCGGGTCAGGATTTGTATACATGTACATGTTAAAACTTACAAAATCTTCTTTTAAAAAAACTCTAAAAGCCAGAACTTAGATATTTAGCATGAAACATCTTCTAATGGGTGTATACCAAGTTTGTTCAAATAAAAGCCCTGGAGTTAAACTTGTCCCAGTTCAAGGGGTGGGGGAGTGGTGAAAGTCATTGATTCACCTTGTTTGTCTATAGTAAAAACTTAAAAATCTTCTGTTAAAAAACCCAAAGAGCTAGAGATTACATATTTAGCATGAAACATTTTCTAGCGAATGTCTACGAAGTTTGTTCAAATAAAACCTTGGGGTCAAAGTTGGCCCCAAGCCAGGGGTCATTGATTTTCTTTTATATATATATATATATTATAAGTAAAAACTAATGTTATTACACATGCACCATTTCAGATACAAATTTATATGAACTATGTGATATCAGTAAAATTTTCAGATTTCAGTGTCTATTCTAGGAGGGGGGATGGGGGATTCACTCCTATTTTTAGCTCACCTGTCTCAAAGTGACAGGGTGAGCTTTTGTGATCGCTTTTCGTCCGGCGTCCGTCCGTCGTCCGTTCGTCGTCCGTCCGTAAACTTTTACTTTAAATGACATCTCCTCATAAACCACTAAGCCAATTTCATCCAAACTTCACAGGAATGTTCTTTTGGTGGTCACCTTTAAAAATTGTTCAAAGAATTTAATTCCATGCAGAACTCTGGTTGCCATGGCAACCAAAAGAAAAAACTTTAAATATCTTCTTTAAAAAAACGCAAAGAGCTAGAGCTTAGATATTTGGCATGAAACATCTTCTAGTGAGTGTCTACCAAGTTTGTTCAAATAAAAGCCCTGGGGTCAAATAGGCCCCGCCCCAGGGGGTCATTGATTTTCCCTATATGCCTATAGTAAAAACTTAAAAAATCTTCTTTTAAAGAACCCATAGAGCTAGAGCTAAAATATTTAGCATGAAACATCTTCTAATGGGTGTCTACCAAGTTTGTTCAAATAAAAGCCCTGGGGTGAAAATTGGCCCCGCCCCAGGGGGTCATTGATTTTCCCTATATGCATATAGTAAAAACTTAAAAAAATCTCCTTTTAAAGAACCCAAATAGCTAGAGCTAAGATATTTAGCATGAAACATGTTTTAATGGGTTTCACAAAGTTTGGTCAAATAACAGCCCTGGGGTCAAAATTGGCCCCGCCCCGGGGGTCATTGATTTTCCTTATATGTGTATAGCAAAAACTTAAAAAATCTCCTTTGAAAAAACCCATATAGCTAGAGTTTAGATATTAAGCATGAAACATCTTCTAGTGAGTGTCTACCAAGTTTGTTCAAATAAAAGCCCTGGGGTCAAAATTGGCCCCGCCCCAGGGGGTCATTGATTTTCCCTATATGCATATAGTAAAAACTTAAAAAATCTTTTTTTTAAGAACCCAAAGAGCTAGAGCTAAGATATTTAGCATGAAACATGTTCTAATGGGTGTCTACAAAGTTTGTTCAAATAAAAGCCCAGGGGTCAAAATTGGCCCCGCCCTGGGGGTCATTGATTTTCCTTATATGTATGGCAAAAACTTAAAAAATCTTCTTTTAAAAAACCCAAATAGCTAGAGTTTAGATATTAACCATGAAACATCTTCTAGTAAGTGTCGACAAAGTTTGTTCAAATAAAAGCCCTGGGGTTAAAACTGGCCCCGCCCCAGAGGTGTCATTGTTTTTAACTATATGTGTATAGTAAAAACTTAAAAAACTTCTTTAAAAAACCCAATTAGCTAGAGGTTAGATTTTAAGGAGGAAACATCTTTTTGTTTGTGTCTACCAAGTTTGACCAAATAAAAGCCCTTGGGTTTAAATTGGCCCTGCCAAAGGGGGGGGGGGGGGGGCGGAGGTCATTGTTTTTCATTATATGTGTGTAGTAAAAACTTAACATCATGAAACATCTTCTAATGGGTGTCTTCCAAGTTTGCTCAAATAAAAGCCCTGTGGTTTAAACTGGCCCCGCTCCGGGGGCCTATATACAGGTGAGCGACCTCAGGGCCATCATGGCCCTCTTGTTGAGAATTATCCCCCCTATTTTTTCAAAGGCAGGGGGAAAAAATCAACAAATGTAATAAATTCTCACTGTTTTATAAAAATCCCGCCCACTGTTTTTCAAATTCTAGAATAAACACTGCAGATTTTATATTTGCTTTTGTTTAAAGTTTACAGTATTACTTGTTACTTGCCATGGAGAGTTTCTATATATAGATGACTGATTCTCCATCACAATTTCTTTCATGATTAAATAAATGATAAACAATATCTACATTTTGAGAAAATTGTCCTCACAAACACTCCTTGATGAATGGGAAAATATAGCACAGTAAATCAAAAGAGGGGAAAAGCTGAAAAGTGCAAGCCATAGCAATATTTTAAAATTAAATTTCCATTTAAAATTTCGAAATTTCAGTAACCAGTTTTACTGCAGTTACAGAACTTTTTCTGTGTTAGGGGAAATCAGGATTCCATTTTAGGGGAAAATATCACAATTTTTGGTTCAAGGAAACAGCCTGTTTGCAAGGCTGTAAAAATATGTCACCGTAGACTGGTAAATTGGAAAACCTTATTGAAACTTATTTTCTGAAATTGAATAGCACTCAATTTGAGAAGGTTTGCATGTACTGTTATGCTTCAATTTGTGATCCTTGGAAGATCCTGAATTATTGTGACCTAACACCTTCCTTTGCATTGAAAAATATCAAATGTATGACCTTTTCTTGACTAGTTAAAAACTATTATTGCTCTTTAAACAACATTTTTAAGTTAAATGTTTCAATCCATGGTATTAAATGGACATTTACTTGTTTGTAAATAACTTTATTTCATAATTTTGTTTTCTTAAATCAGATAGAAATATCATTCATTTCTAATTTTAGGTGACCAGTTTACAATGGAAGAAATCTACGAATCAAATGTTGATGAATGACTGTTAAGAAGATGTGTATATTATTTTATGTGTCTTAACCCTTAAGGAGAGAATTCCCAGTGCCTTTATGCTAAACAGTTAACATTGTTTTTTATTTATGACTACTACAAGACTTATGGTGACATTATAATACAATTATTGTGATATGGATTAAATTCACTGAGGAAATAAAAACATAGGCATGGCTTCAGTGTCTTTGTCAAAAAAACTGTCTGACTCAAGATACAATAACTGGGTAAAGGCTAGTTTAGCAGTCTTGATAACAAAAGAAGGTATTGAACCTTTTGTTGAAGATGAAATTGAACAGTTCCAGCAGAAATGTTTAAAAGATATATGTAACAATCAGCGTCTTCCATCTGGAACAATTTGTACGAGTTGTTGCACAGAAAATGTAGTCAATTGTCCTACAAACAAAATTTGTAACATTAAGCAAAGACAATGCAGTTATCATAAAGATTCTGCAACTTCTTTTCTTCTTGCTGGTTGTCCGAACAAGATCTGTCACAATTTCAAAACTGAAATACAGAAGGCCCATAGATACAATGGCCCATCCTACAAAAACACTGATGCTACACAGTGGTGCAGTAAATCCTGGGAGGTCGCTAAGTGCTTCATGCCACCAGATGGTTATAAAGATGTTGTATCTGCATCAGAAACAGATTTTAATGGAGTCAACAGTGTCATCATAAACTGCAAATGTTTTCAGACAAAAGTAACAGATGATCTTAGTAAGAATGGAAACATTTTTGACAAGGTAAGGCAAATTTTACTTGTTTTCTTTTTCTTCTTTTGTCATTTAAATCACCTTGCATAAAATGAAAAGTGAGCTATTAGGATCATTATGTCACATGATGTAGACTGTTTGACGTTTTCCCGAAAAAATGACAAAGATAGTCAGAGTTAAATTATTGAAATTTGCAAAATTATAGACAGACTCGATTCATATTTAGACAACATAATCTTATGTGTTAAATAACTTAAGATAGCTTGCTACTTTCCGACCGAAATTAAACAATCATCTCAGATCTTGATGATATTTGGTATACAGACATGTAGATATGTAAGCTTTACTTCTACAGCATTATTTTATAAATAAACAGCGTTACTATGACGTCAAAGCGCCCTCTATCGGTGGCGGCGAAATTGCGTCTTTTTTATCAATAAACCGGTCTGTTCTTATCAATTTTCATCCGATTTCTTTCATTAAAATTTTATAATGTTCAGTAAATGTATGTCTTTGTAATGATGTCTTTCTTTAACATTTGCTTAATACTCTGCGATTCTACGTTATTTTCCCTCACGTTCTGACGTCCATATTTGATGCAAATATCGCGCGATATCGCAATAAAGATTGTGAAATAATAAAAAATCAACACGGTGAATTTTGCTATAATTTTTCTAACATGTAGTGAAGTCATAAAAGAAAATATTTATGCAATAAAAATATAGGGTCAACGCGTAAGATATTTTGCTATTACTATTTGAATATAAAATAAAGGGTGAGTAAAACGTAATGATTTTGGTGACGTCAAATATTTTTCTCAAGAAAATTTTCACGACTTTTTCGATAAATATCATACTGACAGGAATAAAAATGTGTGAAAACCATCATCGACAATAGTATTTAGACATGTTCCGTAAAAATGTTTTTTTAAAAGTCCTGTCAGATGCCTGAATTTCGATGAATATCTTCAATTATATACATGTACAACAAATCAGTGTAAAACTGTCTGCAAAAGTTGGTATCAATCTCTAAAAAAACTGCAACGAATGGATATAAATACCTTGAGGACTGAAAGGCAATTCAGAATATTGAAAGATATAATTAAAAGGCCACCTAAGTGGAAATTATAAAAACATAAATTTTGCAAAGAATGTCAGAAAAAAAAAAGAATGAAAAGGCTGATGCAGTCGCAGTGTCATCATGTTATGTGTATCTCGGTACAACATAAACTTCCAGGTTATCATATGTAACAATTTTGAATTGTATATATCAGTTAGTAAGAACAGAGAAATAGATGTTATCTGGTATAAATGAATCAAATTACGTTTAAAAAATATATGATCAACTGGAAGTAGCAACGATTTGTACGTAAGTCATGATTCACTGGTAGTCTTAATTATATTGTAAAATCTAGCAGACATTTAATTCAAAATTTTCTACATGTCGAATAAAAATTTATTTATTAACAGCCATCAGTGATTCTATTTTCTCACGCAGCTAAATACCCTGCACTAAGCGTGAGACTCAGATTTAAAGCAGGAATCACGCTCTCATGCTATGGCTTTAATCTCTCACGTATTTCACATAATTACAGATATTATTATTTATTTTAAACTAGCTGACTCGCGGTATGTGTTTACTAGCGCATCTTTGAGGCGATCTAGCTGAAGCCGCGATCATTTCTCGATTAGAGGCGAAAGATCCGTTGATTTATTTTGTATGTTCAGAAGCGGAGAATTTTGCATATTAAATACAGATTCCCTTGTACTGAAGGCGATTAAATTGTAGGATTCTCAATTTGTGTGATTATGGTTGTGGGAAAAGCTCGTTTTTTGTCTGCACATAATGCAGTGCTATGTAGAGCCTATGAAAATAATGAACTATGCATTTTATGTTTTATATCTTCTTATTTTTAGCTCACCTGTCACAAAGTGACAGGGTGAGCTTTTGTGATCGCTTTTCGTCCGGCGTCCGTTCGTCCGTCCGTCCGTCGTCCGTCCGTAAACTTTTGCTTTAAATGACATCTCCTCATAAACCACTAAGCCAATTTCATCCAAACCGTACAGGAATGTTCCTTTGGTGGTCACCTTTAAAAATTGTTCAAAGAATTTAATTCCATGCAGAACTCTGGTTGCCATGGCAACCGAAAGAAAAATCTTTAAATATCTTCTTTTAAACAACCCTAAGAGCTAGAGCTTAGATAATTGGCATGAAACATCTTCTAATGAGTGTCTACCAAGTTTGTTCAAATAAAAGCCCTGGGGTCAAAATTGGCCCCGCCCCGGGGGGTCATTGATTTTCCCAATATGCATATAGTAAGAACTTAAAAAATCTTCTTTTAAAGAACTGTAAGAGCTAGAGCTTAGATATTTGGCATGGAACATGTTCTAGTGAGTGTCTACCAAGTTTGTTCAAATAAAAGCCCTGGGGTCAAAATTGGCCCCGCCCCGGGGGGTCATTGATTTTCCCTATATGCATATCGTAAACACTTAAAAAATCTTCTTTTAAAGAACTGTAAGAGCTAGAGCTTAGATATTTGGCATGAAACATCTTCTAGTGAATGTCTACCAAGTTTGTTCAAATAAAAGCCCTGGGGTCAAAATTGGCCCCGCCCTGGGGGGTAATTGATTTTCCCTATATGCATATAGTAAAAACTTAAAAAATCGTTTTTTAAAGAACCGTAAGAGCTAGAGCTTAGATATTTGGCATAAAACATCTTCTAGTAAATTTCTACCAAGTTTGTTCAAATAAAAGCCCTGGGGTCAAAATTGGCCCCGCCCCAGGGGGTCATTGATTTTCCCTATATGCATATAGTAAAAACTTAAAAAATCTTCTTTTAAAGAACTGTAACAGCTAGAGCTTAGATATTTGGCATGAAACATCTTCTAGTGAATGTCTACCAAGTTTGTTCAAATAAAAGCCCTGGGGTCCAATTTTGCCCCGCCCCAGGGGGTCATTGATTTTCCCTATATGCATAAAGTAAAAACTTAAAAAATCTTCTTTTAAAGAACCCAAAGAGCTAGAGCTAAGATATTTGGCATGAAACATCTTCTAGTGAATGTCTACTAAGTTTGTTCAAATAAAAGCCCTGGGGTCAAAATTGGCCCCGCCCCGGGGGTCATTGATTTTCACTATATGCATATAGTAAAAACTTAAAAAAATCTTCTTTTAAAGAATCGTAAGAGCTAGAGCTTAGATATTTGGCATGAAACATCTTCTAGTGAATGTCTACCAAGTTTGTTCAAATAAAAGCCCTGGGGTCAAAATTGGCCCGCCCGAGGGGGTCATTGATTTTCCTTATATGCATATAGTAAAAACTTATAAAATCTTCTTTTAAAGAACCCAAAGAGCTAGAGCTAAGATATTTAGCATGAGACATGTTCTAATGGGTGTCTACCAAATATGTTCAAATAAAAGCCCTGGGGTCAAAACTGGCCCCGCCCCGGGGGTCATTGATTTTCCTTATATACATAGCAAAAACTTTAAAATCTTCTTTGAAAAAACCCAAATAACTAGAGCTTAGATATTAAGCATGAAACATCTTTAAGTAAATATCTACAAAGTTTGTTCAAATAAAAGCCCAGGGGTCAAAACTGGCCCTGCCCGAGGGGTGTCATTGTTTTTAACTATATGTGTATAGTAAAACTTTAAAAAATCTTCTTTTAAAAAACCCAATGAGCTAGAACTTAGATGTTTTGCATGAAACATCTTCTTATGGGTGTCTACCAAGTCTGTTCAAATAAACAAATAAAAGCCCTTGGGTAAAAATTGGGCAGGGGGGGGGGGCTATATACAGGTGAGCGACCTCAGGGACATCATGGCCCTCTTGTTTAAATATTGGGTTTAAAGCAGCACGCCTCCAGATTCATGCTAACTTCATGAAAATTTTGAAAATGTGTTTAAAAGTAGTATTTAATGAAATAACCAAAAGGAAGCAATTAACAAATTATCAATGGCACTTACAGCCCACGTAAATTATGAAAAAGAGGACAAAATATGCAAAATTGCCCTTACTGCGTTAGTAACGCAGTAGAAATATAATTATAAATACTGAAAAATCAGTCATTAATTGTACATAACATGTAAATTATTACTTGAATCTTGAATAGTTTTACTTTTCCTAAAATCTTAGTACATTTTTCTCAAATTTGATTTTATTGAAACATTTTGCTCATCTGGAGGCATGCAGCTTTAAACGCCGCTTTCAACAGTATTTCAATTATAGCGGAGGGAATTTAACGAAACCAGTGTTTCTCACAGTATCAACTTCTCTTTGGAAATGAATGACATGAGTCCGAGGTGGACCTTGAAACATTTCATAGTCATACACAGTAAACAATTCTAAAGGATAATCTATTAGTACAATACGCAATCGTGTCTCGAATCTATGCCTTCCGAATTCAGCGTAAGACCACTTTACCGATTACAACGTGGCAACAGAAGAATATTCAAAGTTAAAAACCTGATTATGATCTCCCTTAATAAGGGAAAAGTCCACTTTATTGTTTACATCATAAACATGTGTTTTTGATGTGTTTTTTGAGGTTGTTTATTTTTTTCTTGTTTTTTTTTTTTATTTATAAAGCAAACTGTATTGCATTAAAAAATGAACAATATAGCGTCAACATAATACATTATTCGTATTCAGTGGTAACAAAAGTTGCACAAGTTATTTAATAATAATATTTTGTATTTAATTAAAATATACAGTATAACCTTTAAAGAGAAATGCCCTTTGTTGCCTAGAGTGGTTGCTCTACAGAGGTAAAATGTAGTGGAACTCTTTAGAAATAAATAATACTTTGAGGGCCGCTATGTTATACTGTAATGAAAAAGCGGTAATGAATCCGTGTTGAGTAATGGTTATATTGGGGAGTTCACATTCGAGTCTGCAGTTGCGAATATGCTTATATATTTTTTTATTCAGTATGATTTTGCTTCCAAAATAGTTTATAGTTTGTCACATAAGTGCTCATTTTCGAATTATCATGACATTTTAATTAGATTATAATTATATAATCTATGTATTGCACAGACTTAAAAATGGTTAGCAAAAATAAAAATGAAGTAAAGGTTTTTGTTTCTTGTACAGTTTGTTTTTAAATATTCTTAAAGGGACTCCACTGAGGTTGAAAAGCCAAACACATATAACATTTGAATTTCTTACATAAATGAGCTTGGGCACTTTAAACAGAAATATATGCGAAGATAGTTAAGAAATATACTTTGAAATAAATTGAAAATCGTATTTTATGCTTTTGTTAGCCCGATTTGGGTGAAAAGCGTTTAAACGCTTTTCATTTTGAATAATTATTCTGGAAAAAAGAAGTGCGCGAATGCTCTGAAATTTTGCACAAAGATTAATGGTCTAGTTTTAACCTACATCAAATGGTACATTTATCTGGAAAAAATGTTTTCAGTTCCATCATGTCAAAAAACCTCAGTGGAGTCCCTTTAACATATTTGAATATTATTTCTGAATTTTATTTATCACTTATTTCGGCACATTTGTATGCATATCTATTTTAATTGTATTTTTACGATGTGTTTTGACACCGAGGCTCGTCTGCCTTTATGTGATTTTATGAAAGTGTTTAAAAGCTGAATGTAACGTAAAATAAGTATAAGCTAAGCAAACTAATATTCTTACTTCATTCATACAGCAAGATGTGAATCTTATTTTTTGCGCTGCAACTAGTTAATTCATATAATAATATAACACTTTAACAACATCACATTATAAAAATAGAATTAAAAGATGTATGAGACTGTGTCCTGCAAATTAGGAAAGTATTTAAAAAGGGATTGTCGTATTAAACATTGTAAATGTGCTCATCTAGCGCATGCTTTCAATGAGAAAATAATTTAAAATTTAAAAAAATATGCATTTCATCAAGTCCCTGTGTTGTTTATACTTACTATCGTAATGTTTGATGTAAGAAAATTGTTATTTAGTATTATTCTTTGAACTCCAACATCTATTAACGTCACAAAAATCATTACGTTTCACTCACCCTTTATTTTATTTTAAAACAGTAATAGCAAAATATCTTACGCGTTGACCCTATATTTTTATTGCATAAATATTTTCCTTCACTATCTCACTACACGCTCGGAAAATTATAGCAAAATACACCGTGTTGAATTTTTTTTATTACACAATCTTTATTGCGATATCGCGCGATATTTGCATCAAATATGGACGTCAGAACGTAGGGAAAAATAACGTAAAATCGCAGGCTATTTAGTAAATGTCAAAGAAAGACATTATTACAAAGACATACATTTACTGAACATTATAAAATTTAAATGAATGAAATCGGATGAAAATTGATAAGAACAGACCGGTTTATGATAAAAAAGACGCAATTTCGCCGCCACCGATAGAGGGCGCTTTGACGTCATAGTAACGCTGTTTACTTATAAAATAATACTGTAGAAGTAAAGCTCTCATATTTATATGTTTGCATACCAAAAATCATCAAGATCTGAGATGTTGTCATATTTCGGTCGGAAAGTAGCGAGCTACCTTAAGTATGACCTTGACACATAAAATGAGCAGGACTATCAAACTCTGAAGTAATTAATTGAATTTAGCTTGAAATGCTATACAAATTAATTATTCATACTTGGACAAAGCATCACTGACACAACATGCTAAATGTTTAAATTATGACCTTTACGTTTAAACCTGACTGTCAGGTGTCATTTTCAATATCTACAGATCTTTAAAATAATGCACTGATTTAATTATGAAGATTTTCAGAACAAGGGACGGCTAATATACAGGTATTTCATATGTGATTTGGAAACAGTCAAACTGTTGGCCTGAGGTGGAGGGGGTAGTGTTTTGAACTGTTGCCCAATGCCTTAGGCCGAGAGCAACAGTTCAAAACACTATCCCCAACACCGAGTGAATTCTTCTAAAGCCGGAGCTAGGGGATGTGGATGCCTGAATGGTAATTTGCACTTTCGACCAATGTACGTCGCTAATATAAATGTCCTGTATGTCTTGATTCTATATTCACAGGGTAGAGAGATTGGTAAAGCTGTTCGACACGCCCCTATTCTGGAAGTGGTGGATAAAGATTTAAAGCAATATTTCATTGACCTTGATAACCTTCTGTCAGATACTGGACACTTGATTTCCGATAATAATGCAAAGTTAGCAAGGAAAAGATTATCTGAGGTTTGTAAAACTTACTTTTGTTTTCAGTAACATAGATTAGAACAAGTTAGAAGTCACTACATTATCAGTACAAAGTTATGTTTCGTTGTGTATGTGATGAAATACATCTACAGTAAACTTCACTTATAGCGAACACAGTTTTTGTGCAGACCTTCGGTTATAAGGAACAATTTATTTTGGCCGAATTTTGCCCTTCTTTATTTAATATAAAAATATAATAAAAGGTTAATAGCAAACACAGTTATAAGAAATTATCGTTTACAAGGAACTCATTTCTTAGTCCTAATTTTGTTAAAAGTACGGAAAATATCACTTTTATAACAAACTCCAAAATATCGGCTATCCGTAAAAAGATCCCGCATTTTCAACTTTAGTTTTCATTGGTACAAGATTAAAACTCAGCCGAATGTACCGTTTATTATTGTATGCACATACAAGACATCTATTACAATAAATTTGAATAGCAGTACATAATAGTTTTCAAGTAAGGATATTTTTAGTATGAGTTCTTGTCACCAAGATAAAACGGTTATCCCTCTTTTTCTTTAAATGTTTGCTAGAGTAAAATAATTATGATAATTTATAATCGGTTTTTAACATAATCACGCATGCTTGCAAGCATAATCCATTGAAAACTACAAAGTACGCCATTGAAATGAAAAGAAATCTATATCTTTCATTAGTAAAAGTCACCCTTAAAATATAATAATTAAAGATATTCAATATAAAAGCAAGGAAAAATTGAAAATATTGTTTATTTTTAATAAAAGAAAGAAAACGAAAAGCACTTTGTTTAAAAACAAAAAATGATATTTAATGAGAAATTGAGCAAGGGAGTTAAACTAAAACTAAAATAGCAAAGGATTTTCAAATTCCAAAAAGTATGCTCTCGGGTATTGTGTCTAAAATAGACAAAATGACTAATTTTTCTTAATCAAATGCTCTTCAAAATGGCGGACGATGGTAAACAATCAGTTTGTTATATGTAAGTCTGTTCGCTATAAAAACTCCTGATACAAAGAACTAATTCGCTATTATGCTTACAAGGAACTCCAGATAATAAGGAACAGATTTTGAATGTCCCGATTAGTTCAATATAAGCGGAGATTACTGTACATGCACTTTCTGATTGAAGGTTGATTTATATAAGGATAATCTGAATTATAATATTTCTCACTTGCAAAATAATAATGTTTCTTTATAACAGGCACATGCAATAAAACATGTCAGTTAAAACACCTGACTTAAGTATGGAGAGGAATTATCGTCTTATATTTTCTGTTGGGTGAATAATTCTGTTTTGTTTCAACTAAGTGTTTCAGTAATTTTATCTTTAAAAAAGTGCATCATTCACATGTATCACTGTTAAGCATTATTCAAAACAGTGTCCCGAGATGTATTTATAACGCTTTAGTGTTTTCTGTAAAATCAGAAGATTGGGAAACAAATTGTCATTTAAATATAGAGAGCGGACTTGTAGATGATAGGTATTGATGGATTTCCTTATGTTTATACATTTTATGATTGGCAAATTTCATTTTCGACCTTATTTCCTTTGATTTCACAATTATATATTAAAACAAATTATCTAAAAATTACAACCTTTAGAAAAGCTGAAGGTCGCTTTACAGTAATGATTCATATATTTAATATTAAATAGTTTTTAAAACTGAGTCATGATAGATATATAGATATATTTATTCATTGATTATAGCATCTTTTAAATGTTAATTTACCTCAAAAATGTTTGTAGGAGACAATCACTTTTATATACAGAACATTCTTGTAAACTTGAGTGTAACGTCAAAATGCTAGATTATGATATAGGCTACTTGTGGATGTATTTTAATTGTTAAATTAGAATAATGATACATAATTAATTTTTCATTTTAGTTACAGAAGGATACATTGCTCATTGGTAAAGATGATGTGCGGAAAGTGCTTGATGATGTTGCAAAGGTAGCACAAGACAACATTAAGCTATTAAGTGATGAATTTAAAAAAGAAGCAGAAAAAAGTAAATTGGAGCTTAAAGAAACAACTCAAAAATCTTCAGAAACATTAGAAAATAAAGAAAACATTACTCTTGCTGAACTTGATAAGATTTTAAAATCTGCTCTCAAAAGAATTAACACGGAAACTGATAAAGGAGTGGAACAAATAAAAACTGAAACTAAAAGTGGTGTAAGTTTGATACATGAAACCACAGATGAAGGTACATGCAAGATTCGAAAGGAATCTGAGGCGGCCAAAGACCAAGTCAAACAAGCAGCTAATGAAGCCACAGATGAAGGTAAATGCAAGATTCGAAAGGAATCTGAGGCGGCCAAGGACCAAGTCAAACAAGCAGCTAATGAAGCCACAGATGAAGGTACATGCAAGATTCAAAAGGAATCTGAGGCGGCCAAGGACCAAGTAAAACAAGCAGCTATTGAAGAGTTTCAAAAAGTTTCAGCAGCAAATAAACAGAAAGAAGAAGAATATATAGCAGCAAAAAAGAGTGAGTTTAAACATTTGTTTCACACCATACAAAGGTAAAAATGTAACAAATTAAATTCCAGTTTAATCCCAATGTAATTCATATACTCATTATACCCCATAAAACGAAGTTTGGGGGGGGGGGTATATAGGAGTCGCCCGGTGGTTGGTCGGTCGGTCGGTCCAGACGTCCGTTGCATTTTCCTTGTCTTGAGCATAACTTGAAGACTAATGGTTGGAATTCAATAACTGATATAACTACATACAATGGTCAAGCACATTGAGAAGAAGTGCAGTGCACAAGAACCATAACTCTATCTTGACTTATTACAGAGTTATTGCCCTTTGTTACTTTTCCTTGTCCGGGCATAACTTGAAAACTACTGGTTGGAATTCAAAATACAATGTAACTTCATACAATTGTCAAACACAATAAGGGGAAGTGCAGTGCACAAGAACCATAATTCTATCTAAAGTAGTTACAGAGTTATTGCCCTTTGTTACTTTTCCATTGCTTTCTTTTGTCCGGACCATAACTTGAAGACTTATGGTTGGAATTCAATATAACTACATACAATGGTCAAGGACATTGAGAGGAAGTGCAGTGCACAAGAACCATAACTCTATCTTGACTAATTACAAAGTTATTGCCCTTTGTTACTTTTCCTTGTCCGGGGCATAACTTGAAAACTACTGGTTGGAATTCAAAACAACTTCATACAATGGTCAAGCACAATAAGGGAAAGTGCAGTGCAGAATAACCATAACTCTATCTACACTAATTACCGTGTTATTGCCCTTTGTTACTTTTCCATTGCTTTTTTTTGTCCGGAGCATCACTTGAAGACAAATGGTTGGAATTCAATATAACTTCATACAATGGTCAAGCACATTGAGAGGAAGTGCAGTGCACAAGAACCATAACTCCATCTTGACTAATTACAGAGTTATTGCCCTTTGTTAATTTTCCTTGTCCAGAGCATAACTTGAAAACTTCTGTTTGGAATTCAATAAATCTTCATACAATGGTCAAGCACAATAGAAGTGAAGAGGAAGTGCAGTGCACAAGAACTATAACTCCCTGTTCAGTATTTATAGAGTTATTGCCCTTTGTTCCTTTTCTTTGTCTTTCTGGACTTATTACAGAGTAATTCAATAAAACTTCATCAGTGGCCAACCACATTGAAAGGAAATGCACCATACAAGAACCACAACTATCTTTATTTGCCCACAACCATAACTCTATATTTTATTTCTTTTACAAGGTATTCTGTTACTAGTAACATCCTCATTTCCGAAGCAGTCTTGTGGGGGTATTAATCACATTTAGTGATAGTTCTAGTTTTTATGCCCCCGGGCATATAGTAATTGAACCGTCCGTCCGAGCAAACATTTTGGGTTTAGGGGCTATATAACAGTAAAGAGAACAAAAGAAAACAATAGGTTCATTCTGTGAGGCTAGTAGCCCTTAAGATAACAAAGAAAATAACAAAGAAAATATCCCCTAAACCCAAAATGTTGGAACGTCCGTCTCTCCGCCCGTCTGTCTGTCTGTACGAGGTTAACCTAGAACGGCAAGTTGGATTTTTCTTAAGTTCTACCTGTACAAATGGCTTCATAATTTACACATTTACTAATCCATACAAAGTTTATGATCTGGGCAAGTTACATAACTATGGCTTCCATTTACACCAAGTTATAGCCCTTTTCAGCACTTAGAAAATGAATAATGGTTAACCTAAACCGGCAAGTTGGAAATAGCTTATGTTCTATCTGAACTAATAGCTTAATAATTTGCACACTTACTTTTCTATACAATGTACATGATATTAATGTGCCATCCATTTTCCCAGTAATTTCCCTTTTTATCACTTTGAAAATAGGGCCTTGTATGGTTAACCTATTCCGCCAAGTTGGATTTATCAAAAAATTTCACCTAATTACTTAATTGATTTAATGATATCTTTCATATTTGGTAGGTGGATACCTTTAACGATCCTCTAATTTTTTATGGCGTTAGGCGTCTCTAGGTCAAGGTCAAGGTCATTTGTGTAAAAAAATAAATCTAAACATTTCTGCTCATACAGCCTTTATTTTTAAGTTAATGTCTTTCATGTTTATAGTCATACCAAGAGAGGTCCTCTTCCTTTTCCTTTAGTAAGGGGTCATTTGGGTCAAGGTCACCAATGTCAAAAATAGATTTTTTACACTTTTACAGGTGTATTAACCTTATTCTATCGACAGATGTCTTGTATATTTTGTAGGAACATAAAATTGAGGTATTCTCATTTGGATGGAGGTAGGGGTCAGTTGGGTCAAGGTCACCAGTGCTAAAAATAAATGTTTACACTTTTGCTCACACAGCCTTTATTTATTGACAGATTTATATTATAATTGGTAGGAAGATAACTTACATGGTATTCTTCCTTTGGATGGAGTTAGGGGTCTGTTGGGTCAAGGTCAACAGTGCTAAAAATATATTTTTACACTTTTGCCCATACAACCTTTATATATTGACAGATTTATTTCATATTTGGTAGGAAAATAAGTTGCACGATATTCTTCCTTTGGATGGAGTAAGAGGTCAGTTTGGTCAAGGTCACCAGTGCTAAAAATAGATTTTTTACACTTTTGCCCAATCAGCCTTTATTTTAAATATTGTTACTGACAAGAATCTGAGCCGGGGCATTTGTGTTTAACAAACACGTTCTTGTTCAAGTCAGAAATCAGCATGATACTGCATTCTATCTACATGTACCTTCTGGCTTCATTTTCTGTATCCATTTTGCATGTCAAAAAACAAATTAATTTTGCACTTGACGTTAAGACAAGTCATCTATTTTACATATTTAACTCAATTTTTGAAATTATGTGTAGTCTTGTAATCTGCTGTATTCATATTTTACTCTAATAAAGTAATAAGGGGGAGGGGTGAAGGCATAAAAGAGTGAGCTGGTCGGTTGGCGGCAGGGCTGGCAAAATCTGATTTTGACTTACTTGAAGCATTGTTTAACTTGTCCGTATGATATTTACATAGTTAATTTTTGAATTTCTTTACTTGTCCGTACAAGCTGTTGGACATTTTTTTTAAAACATATAACATGAACTACCGGTTGAATTTAAATTTTGCTGCAGAACATTAAGATATGACCTTAAGTAAAGGAGGCAGGTGGGTGTATGAAAGCTCTAGAGTACTTTTAGTGTAAAACAGAAACACTTCTAAGATTTGGATTTTTTCCCAAAATTGATTAAGTTATTTAAAAGCTTAATGACTGAGCACAAAGTTCTAAGAGGCAAGCATTTAGGATTGCATGATGTTTTTCATCATTATCCACAACTGTTTTAAACAGCATACCTTTCTTAACCGTGTGGCAGATTTTGACGAAACTTCATCAGAATGGTCTTTTATTGGTCCTCTTTTTTTAATAGTTGTATTCTGATGCACAAGTAGGTCACAGGAGCTTAAATTATTACACTTAAATTTTTATTTAAAACAAGATATGTTTGTAAAACATGTATGCCCCCTATCAGCAGCCAATTAGTCATGTGATAAGGTTATTATGCATGACTTTTGACCCAGTGATCAAACAATTAATAAGGGTTATCAAGTATCTACTGGTCATGACCTTAACCTTTGACCCCTTGACCCAAAACTCAATAGGGGTCATCTGCTGGTCACGACCAATCATCATACAAAGTTTGAAGTTCCTAGGCCTAAGCGTTTTAAGTTAATTGATCAGAAACCGTTTTTACCTACAAGGTCAATGTGACCTTGACCTTTGACCCCAAAATCAATAGGTCATCTGCTGGTCATGACCAATCACCATACCAAGTTTGAAGTTCCTAGGCCTAAGGGTTCTTTAGTTATTGATCGGAAACCGTTTTAACATACAAGGTCAATGTGACCTTGACCTTTGACCCCAAAATCAATAGAGGGTCATCTGCCGGTCATGACCAATCACCATGCCAAGTTTGAAGTTCCTAGGCCGAAGTGTTCTTTAGTTATTGATCAGAAACTGTTTTTACTTACAATGTCAATGTGACCTTGACCTTTGACCCCTTGATCCCAAAATCAATAGGGGTAATCTGCTGGTCATGACAAATCACCATACCAAGTTTGAAATTCCTAGGCCTTAAAGTTCTTTAGTTATTGATCAGAAACAGTTTTTACTTACAAGGTCAATGTGACCTTGACCTTTGACCCTTGACCCAAAACTCAACAGGGTCATCTGCTGGTCACGACTAATCATCATACAAAGTTTGAAGTTCCTAGGCCTAAGCGTTTTTAGTTTATTGATCGGAAACCGTTTTTACCTACAAGGTCAATGTGACCTTGACCTTTGACCCCTTGACCCCAAAATCAATAGGTCATCTGCTGGTCATGACCAATTACCATACCAAGTTTGAAGTTCCTAGGCCAAAGGGTTCTTAAGTTATTGATTGGAAAGCATTTTTTACCTACAAGGTCAATGTGACCTTGCCCTTTGACCCCTTAACCCCAATATAAATAGGGGTCATCTGCTGGTCATGACCAATCACCATACCAAGTTTGAAGTTCCTAGGCCTAAGGGTTCTTTAGTTATTGATCGGAAACCGTTTTTACCTACGAGGTCAATGTGACCTTGACCTTTGACCCCTTGACCCCAAAATCAATAGGGGTCATCTACTGATCATGACCAATCACCATATCAAGTTTGAAGTCCCTAGGCCTAAGGGTTCTTTCGTTATTGATCAGAAACCGTTTTTACCTACAAGGTCAATGTGACCTTGACCTTTGACCCCTTAACCCCAAAATCAATAGGGGTCATCTGCTGGATATAACCAATCACCATACCAAGTTTGAAGTTCCTAGGCCTAAGGGTTCTTTTGTTATTGATCGGAAATCGTTTTTACATACAAGGTCAATGTGACCTTGACCTTTGACCCCTTGACCCCAAAATAAATAGGTCATCTGCTGGTCATGACCAATCACCATACCAAGTTTGAAGTTCCTAACCCAAGGG